TAGTAAAAATTATAAAATTAAAGGGAAAATACGATGGTGTGATAAAATTTAAGCTCTGAAAAATAGGATCGATATTTGTTGAAATCGATTGTGATTCATCATAGCGAACATAGCTATCATCTATTGCCAAGCACGAGTCTTTTTCAACGGTTTCATTCGCGTCACAGCAAATTGATTCCGCTCTCGGAAACTATCTCATATTCAGGATGGTTAAAATTAAGGTAAGATGTGACTGAATATCAAATGTCTCTTTATGGAATTACAGAATTTCTAAGTAGAATACATGAAATCTTGCGTTGATGTTACCGTACGATTATAATGGAGAGGAAGTTGTGATTCTTTAAGTACTACCTCCTGGAGGTCATCTTTTCCAGTTTAGAACCATTTATCCAGAGCTGCTGTTGGGGTTTTTTTTCGGGACTTACCTATGGTTTTTTCGCTGTGGACGCTGGGCATTTCAGGGGACTAGATTCAGCACAGCGCCAGCTCTTTTTCCACCAATTGCGGTCACCTGGCTGCTTCCAGAATTGTTGGGAACAGGCTGGCGCCACGCCGAACCCAGCCCCTGACGAATGCCCCGGCGACGGCAGTGATCGAGGCTGAGGTATGGGTCTTGGGACCTGTCATGTGATACTGCCCACGGCCTAGTTCTGAGTTATCCTTGAATTTTGGAGATAAAACAGGAAGCGCGAGTTCTCCACATCGTCCTCCGTTGAATTTCCTTAGTACTGAATGGGACAGCATAGTAGATACATCACAGTCGCGTGAAGCGCGTGGATGAGCTTTGCTTTGATGTGAGGTGTTATATGAAGCGCAGCATTTTCTGATCGATGGTGATAAAGTGAGACCATGGGAGAATTCGATTTTTTTAAAAATTCCCAGTAAACAGGGCACATCGTTGTTGGGGAATCCCCAATAGGGGGGTCGTATTTGGCCGCCAGGAGAGGTTCGGATTTGGGCTGAGGAAAAAAGTTGTGTCTGATAGTGATTTTCCTCGACTTCACGGACGATTCTGAAAAGGGGTCGTACTTTGGTCATTGTTGCGGAGGGGGGGGGGGGTCGTATTTTCGTCTTTTGGCGGTTGTAGGAGCGGTGTTACTTTTGCTGATTTTTCCTGTTTCTATGGCGTCACTATTTACCTCCCTCCCTACTCGACAGCAATTTTCGTGAGAAAAGTAGGAATTTTCGGGGATGGATGGGCAAGTTTGGGAAAATCTGGATAATTGGTAGGTGAGGGGGTCGTCATTTGTCTCGCGACTTTTCCTGTTTCACATGTCTATTTACCTCACCTTTCCCCCTCCCCCCCCACTCCCCTCGCCCTGCTCCCCACTCGCGGCTCGATCAGACTGTGGAGGACAGAGGGCCGGAGGGGGGGGGGGGTCGCTTACCATACCAAGGGTGTGTACAGACTCGACTAAAATCCCCAACCACATGATGTGCCCTGCTAGTAAGTCAAGAGCACCCCTTTGAAATCTACCTTCGCAAATTTTGTTAATATTTAGAATGTGTTTTAGACGATGTTCAAAGCGCTACGGCGCTTGCACGGCCAGAATCTGGAAAGCAGAGGTCTCAATGATATGACGGAAGCGTTTCAGTCATTTGTCACTCGTGCCACGAATTTTTAAGTGTGGGAAAAGTTGAGGTGCAGTAAGGATATGTGGGGGAGAACAATCGTTTTCATGGCGCCCAGTCTTCTGGAGAAAATCTCACCAAAAGACGCTGTCGCCGGTACCAAAGATGGTGTGTAGTTGGGCTTCTTCACATGACAAGTAGTTAAAGAGACATGGTACGATCACGCATAGTTTGGGTGTGCGTGACTAACAACCCCCCCCCCCCAGCTGTCGAAGATCGCGGTTTTCCGCCTAACATGCGATGAATGGAGCATACAGACGCTGAAACACGCTACTTCTCCATGCTCCGCCCATTCCCTGTTTGCGGGCGCAACACCCAGTCATGAGTACAAGCCGTCCCGACGACACTCGTGTTTGCGCGCGGGTGGTTGCGCGCTCTCTTGGCTTATTTGACCAAGTCCTGTAATTGCGCTTCTGGAACACAAGTAAAACGCGATTCCTTATAGTGAGATACATTTGCGGATACCTCAACGCGATGAGTCACACAGCAGGGTGCGTGCTGCAAAATAAGAACCGAAGATGATGACGAGGGCCAGAACTCAAGAGCAACTGTGCTGCTTCTGCAATATCCCTCAGAGGCCGCGCATTCCCACAAAACATGAAAATAAAAACGGCCCCACTCGTTAGTTTAATACAAGCAAAACGCAATTTCCTGATGCGAATAACATTTGAGGTGTTGCTCATGCTTCAAAGTCCGAATAGAAGGTGATGAAGATGACAAAGGCTAGAAATGAAGAACAACGAATGTAGATGTAAATAAAACAAAAATGAAAAAAATTAAGGAAATGCAAATTAATTGAAATCGCGTGTAAATTCCTGCGATCCGGCGCGAATCCGGCTCCAAAGCCATAGAAATACTTTAAACTAACGAGTGGGACGCTTAGGCCGTTTTTATTTTCATGTTTTGTGGGAATGCGCGGCCTCCGAGGGATATAGAAGCGGTTTTGAGTTCTGATCCTCGTCATCATCTTCGGTTCTTTTGCAGCACCTAAAATGTTATCCGCATCAGGAAATCGTTTTTACTTGTATTCCAAAGCGCAATTACAGGACTTGGCAAAGTGCCAAGAGAGCCGCACGCGACCCGCGCGCAAACGACGGCTGTTAGCATGAACGGGAGTTTGCCCGCAAAAGGCATTGGGCGGAGCATGGAGGAATTAGCGTTTCACGGTCCTGTATCTCCATTCCTGCGCATGTTTCGACAGCTGGGGGGGCTGTTAGTCACACACACATCCAAACTATGTGTACCATGTGTCTTTAATTCAATAGAGAAGAAAAAAAACTCCCGAAGTGCCCATGATAGGACCTACCGACGATGCGTGAATGCTGTGATTCCATACAACGAAATAATCCGAACACTGTTATTTCTGCGAATATCACGAATCTAGATAACTTTGTTTTCGAGAGATTATCCGTTTCTGAAGCGTTCTTCGAATCGGCGGCTGTGTGCCACATGAAGGCGTGGTGGAGGGGGGGGGACTGTTTTTGCAATTTTGTTTTTCTTATTCATTGCCCCTTCTGGATAACCTTCTATCTCAGATACCAATAAATTTAAGTTTACTATAAATTTCTTTGTAAATACGCCTCTTCTGCTAAACACGTTCGATTTTAGACGAACCTGGTCCCATTCTGCGGCCGAGTTCATCAAATATCGACGTCTTCTGCCGATGCTCCTAGCAGACGGACAGCACTTTGACTCGGCTGAAACAGATGGTTAGAATTTCATTTTGAAGACATAGATATGATAAAGTGGGCGTGAAACTAAGGATGCCCATTACGCAGTGTATGTACGCTTAGCTTCTGACAATGTTTCACTTGAAGTGGCTCATAATCAGCAAACCACCCGGAAGTGCGACCCTTCCGCTGAGCGGCCACACGCCCGATTTCTCGCCAGCCGTCGCTTTTTCTTCATAAGACTGTTAGCCGCGTTTGTAGCAACATGCGTAGAGGCAGCTGAGCATGATGAGAGCCGGCCACCGCTAACAATACTTTTTTTACCCAAATATTAATCGCCCAAAATAAGGGGCCGCCCAGTCTTAGCCTTTTTCGATTGCTTTCATTTACTTTTGTGTCCCTGGCGCTCCAGTCGACGAAGAAGACGCCTGCTTCCGACCACCAGGAAATCAACGGTGCCCGCTGTTCATTTTGGACGAATTAGTTGTCAGCTCGAATGTTTTGCCGAATAATATACGAAGTGGGATTTGCTTAGATTTCGATGCATCGTTGGCCAATTACGCAAAATCAAAGGAGGAGCGGAAAATCATTGTGACAAACATATCACCTCGAGTGACACCATCACAGCTTCAGTCGTTCTTCTCAAAATTCGGAAAGGTATGTTGCATTCCATTTTGACCCAAAGCTTATGAAATTTTGATTACCTTACACTGCTGTAATGATGGAACCCACTTACGCCGGCTCAGCAATCATCCAGCTCATCTTCAGCTTAACACCTTCTTGCTTTCTTGAGAACCAGGGATAGCTTATTTTCTACTTCTACAAAGAGACCAGCATTTCCGTACAGTTATCCAACGTGCTATTGGGTCAATTCTGAAATTAAATTATACCCTAGTTCGCTGCGGACGCTTGGGCGTGTCCGGCAGTCATGCGACAACCAGTGGTAGAAAACGAGTAATACAGACGACATGATACAGTCTTGTCTTTTGCTAACAACTGCTAGCGAACGGGTTTGGCACCGCGCCAAACTCGTTCTCTAGCATGACGCGTCCAACCGTCCGCAGCGAACTATACTGTATAAAGCTTCCGGCCTGGTTTGATTTCATTTCGAGATGCGCCATGCATTCCATTTCCATTCGAAATCGGTAGTTGCTCATTTTATGCGACATGGCCCATACAATGATTTGCAGAAGCAGGCGATGTCAATGTTTTTATATTCCCAGACGAATCTGGTTACCAATTTACCATTCCCGGAGGGTAGAAGGATTGGTTGGCCTGGGCGAGAGTTCCCGGGATTTGGACCCAGGAGCGCGCGAGTGATAAACGCGCCACTTGTCACTGTACCACCTCCGCCTCCTCTCAACTCTCTCAACTTATATACCACTAAAACGTGAACTTAGTACCCCGAACTATAAGCTGAGACGAACTGTTACCCATCTTGTTTTTAGGTGTCGCATTGCTCGCTGCCACGAGAAGACAGACGAACTTCTATGTTTGGCACGATGCCGAAGTTTCTGAAAAACTGTGGCACAGCGACTTTGACATTCAAGTGAGTTGATAATAGCGCTAATAGCGTTCGTATTTATCGGCTGAAAACTTTACATCTAAAGTTAAGTGGCCTAAGTTTATTTTTGTTCTGTAACCGAGGTTTTAAGAAAGGCTGAGGATGCTGACAGAGCGAAAAATGCTACACCTGAAGAGCTCAAATTTTATGATCAGTGTATGGTCGTGGCACCGGTCAGTTGCATTTCGATTTTAATTATTTTACTTTATGACTTAGTCTTGGGTGTACTTACTAACTCACTTTCTACTTACCCCTATGAGTATTCACCCTAGCTTTCTACTGTCTTTGGACAAAAACCAGTTTCATTACTTCCAGTGTCACAACTAATCGTGACTGTTTCGAAACTGCAAGGGAAAAATGAGGAAGAAATTACTTGTGGGGCGTATCATCATTTATGTCGCACAGGATGACACAGTATATGGGAGTTCAGAGGTAAAATACTCCGGGACGTTCCTCTAGGAGGCGTGAGTAGGTGCTTAACCTAGGACATCATCGGAATGTGTGAAGTAGCCCTGTCAGTGTGACCGTCCCTCTTAAAAAGAGAGTCTTGGACGAGCTCCTTTCACAACGGATCACTTCGACCTCTTCTTAGTCGCCTCATACTGAGATTCCGTCCCCTCCTATGAACTATTAGAATCAGTAGTTATCAAAGAGCCGTTGCTTTCGAAACGTTGAGCCCAAGGTCACGGCAAGGTGAGGCAGTCCGTCTGTCGGTATGGAAAGTCCTGGAGAATGAATGGCAAGAAATAGTAACAAAAAGGAAGGATTGAGACCAGTGTGTAATGTAGATGCTCTGAGCGCCCACTTAACCCTCCTTTCTTAC